TATGGTTCTAAGACTTATGGATTCATCTTTGAAGAAGAAGGTGAAATGGAGTCAAGATAGAATAAGACAAAACAACAAAAATAGTTGAGATCAGCGGACATGTAGAGGAAGGTGAGAACGATGTTGATGATGACTTACAAGCTAACAATGGTGCAAGCACAAGTGGGCAAGAAATAGCGAAAAAAATGTCATTAGTCAAGTTGGTAGAGCAATAGAACACCAATGAATCAACAACAGCAAAACCAAGGGATTATCATAGTTCAACATGATCCTGCTCCTTTAAGAAGAATAATTAGAGTAAGAAAACTGACAATTTTAGATGATTTCGTGTACCTAACAGAAACTTACACTAATTTTTTAGAGTTTTATGATCTTATAACCTCTATAAAAGTTGTCTTGAGTTCAAATGTTGACAAATGGATGGAGGGCATGCAAAGTGAACTGATCTCAAAGGAGAATATTGAGGTTTGGGAGTTAATCGAATAGACAAAACGAATTAAGCCAATAGGCTTCAAATGGGTATTTAAAACCAAGAGAGATTTGAATGGGAATCATGGTTCTAAAAGATGCTAGACATTAGTCGGGCGGCTGTCTTATGCGGCATCAAACATTTTTCTTATATTATAAGACTCCTCGTTTCCATCAACTAATTAAAATAACCAAATCGTGCCCTTCTCTCTTTACTTTTTGGTTAACACCTTTCTCTCTCGAGTAATGTTATTCATACGATGCTTTTGTACTACATTTTCATACCATCTTAGATGGCATTTGATGTGGACAGCCACATCATTTGAATTAATCAAATTTTTAAATTTAGTTCATTATTTAATAAACTAATAAATAATGAAAACTATTTTATTAAATAATAATTGTGGTATACGAGGAGTCTTTCTTATTGCTTTATTTGGGTTTTGCAAATTTTTCAAATGATGTGGCTGTCCACATTAAATGCCACTCAGCTTTGTTTCCATCGCATCATCTCTGTCTTCAAGAAAGGGCGCTGTTGCTTCTCCTATCCTTTCTCCCACCACCTCCAAAAGCTACTTCAAACCCCCAACCTTCAACCTAAAAGCCCAAAAGAATTCCAAAAACCCCAACTATTAAGCAACATCGGTGCAGCCTGCTTGTCAAAAAGCAGTTTAAGAAGTAATCTAGGTGGGTTTATTCAACGATCAAGTGGGGTTAGTATGTATTCCGGAGATTTCCAGTTTGTTCCATTTCTTCTCGTTAGTTCGCAGCAGAACGGAGAACTGTTGAGGCTTTGACGAGGGCACCTAAACAGCCACCTACCGCCGCCTACCACTGCCTAGATCGCCTATATAGCGCCTAGGCAGTCGGCCAAACCGTACTCGATTTTATGAATGATTTGGCATAAATTCCGACGGTACTCCACTGTCCAGCGCCTAGGCTGACTAGGACATTTTTTAGAACACTGATAGAAATATAGAGAGGCACAAGGCAAGGTGCAAAAAAGTTCACTCAAGGAGATGAAGTTGATTATAAAGAAACTTTGAGTGTCCATCATTGGCTATGGTGGCACATTTTGATTTGGTTTTGCACCGAATAAATGTAAAAGCATCTTTCTTAAATGGTGATTTTGAAGAATGCATATCCATGATGCAACTAGAGGGCTTTAGAGAAGAAAGAAATGAACATTTGATCTGCAAGTTGAAGAAGTCCATCTATGGACTAAAACAGGCATCAAGACAATAGTACCTTAAATTTCATCGAGTTCTTAAGGAACATGGCTCCACAGAAAATCCTCAGACACTTATATTTATTTGAAGATCAGTGGGTTTAGTTTCATCATTTTGCTTTTATGTAGTTGATATACTGCTTGCCACAAATACTCAAAGTTTGTTTGATGAAACCAAGTCTTTTCTAAAAAGGAATTTCGAGATGAAAGATCTTGGAGAGGCATCATATATCCTAGGGATTGAAATTAAGAGGCAAAAGGAGAGGTTTGATTGGATTATCACGGAAGGGTTATATAGAGCAAGTCTTGAACGGATTCAACATGTCTTCTTGTGGTACTATTGAAATGCCAATTTCGAAAGGTGATAAATTAAGTAAGCAACAATGTCCTCAAAATGATTTGGAAAGGAGAATCATGAAAGGTAAATCATATGCATCTTTAGTGGGGAGTTTAAGTATGCACAGTTAGACTAGATCTTGCTTTCACAATCAATGTCATTGGTAGATGTCAGTCCATTACATGAAAAGCTTAATGGAATGGAGCTAAGAGAGTACTGAGATATATTTGAAAGAACCAAAACACACATGTTGATTTTCAAAAGGACAAATAGTTTAGTCTTAGAAGGTTATGGTGATTCGGAATTTTCTGGATGCTCAGATGACCTCAAGTCAACTTTAGGTTATGTTTTTACGATGGCTTATGGGGCAGTCTCTTGTAGGAGTGTAAAGCACGACACAATGGTAGCTGCAACTACGGTGTCAGAATATTTGTCATGTTGTGAGACTGTAAATCAAGTAATTTGGTTGAAGAACTTTATAATGGGACTCCAAGTTATTGATTTAATCTCAAGGCCAATTCAAATTTACTGTGACAATAATGCATCAATATTCTTTCGAAGAATAATAAGAGGTCGGCTGCAACAAGAAACTTGGATATCAAGTATCTCACTGCTCGAGAAAAGGTAACGACACGCTTGGTCAAGATAGATTACTTGGAGACTATTTCAATGATTGCAAATCCTTTGAAGAAGCATGTTGCAAAAATGGGAGTATTAGCTGGTTTTGATGCAACAAATTAGTAGGAGCTGTGCGTTAGTTTTCTTTCAAAAATTTATTTCTTCAGTTACAAGTTGTTAAGTTTGAAATATGCTTTCAAGTATTAACACTGAAGAACTCTTAGCTCAAAAAGTTAAATGCTGAAAGGTTGTTGAGGTTTTCCTAAAGTACACAACATCTAATTATGATAGTATGTATGTATACATGAATACCTAATGAGTGACAATTCGTGGAATTGTTATAAAGATGACCTATCGTATGTATACATGAATACATGATGAGTGACAATTCGTGGAATTGTTATAAAGATGAACAACCAAAGGACTTCAATTTGAGGCATCAAGATCAACTGTCTTATCAGTTCTAAATAGGACCATGAGTTAGATGTGTTTTTCGGTACATATATAGTCACACCTTCCGTTGTTCATATCTTGTTGGAGTTTAATGTATTGGTTAGTTTCATGAAAGTGATTATGGTACTCATGAAAGATAAGTACAATTCCTTCTAGTTCTTCATGAATACTGCTTGATGATCAAAGCTTGAAATTGAGAACTTTGTTCCACAGCCATTCAAGAATAATTCCATATTAAGTTGTATAGTGTTAAACAAGTAGTATCTTTGGTGAGAGAATGTAAGTTCTATAGAGAACCAAACACTCGTTTATCACGTGTTTAGAGATTTGGAATTGTAAAAGATTAGGATTAATTACGTTTGTTACCTATTATGGATTTGTATACTTAGGCCTTCTTTGGCACCTTGGACTGGACTGACTATTTTAGTCAGATAAGATGAATAGTCATCAGATAGTACTGACTGAATTAGTCGGATTGGTGCAATATTAGATTAATAACCTTATTATTTATACTGTGTTTGGTTTGAGACTCTATCGGATAAGAAAGACTTAAAAATGTTATTATTTTAAAGAGAAATTTTGATGATTGATGAATTTGGAACTATGGTGAATTTTTCAACTCCATCTTTTACATCATATCCTTGGATCTGCTCTCCAAATCTTGCTGCAGTCAAGCAGCACGCGCACCCACCATGCTTGATATTATGAATTCATCAGGCTTCATTCTAGATGCCAGAAGTCTATAAAATAAATCAAATGCACTTTCAATCCCCATTTTGAATATAATCTACAACATAGAGATAATAACCCAATTCACCAAAAAAACTCAAGAAGCTGGAAAAAATTGCCCAATCCATTTCTTCAATTGGGTTCAAATTTTCAACATACCTAACTCATGATCTTTGCAATTCTTGCCAAAAACCCAATCAAATTGATTTATTTTCAAATGATTCAACCAATACCAAAAAAACAAACCAGGTAGTAAGTAGTGTTCTTCTGGCAGGGGAGATGGCGCACATGCAAAAAAAAAACTAGATTAATTTTTTTTCAAATCTGAAAATTGACAAACCCTATATTTTAATTAAAAGAAAAAATTATAATCAATTGCAAAATTAGGGAGAATAATAACCAAATTCAGTCAATTGAAAAAAAAAAATTGCAAGAAAAATAGAAGGAGAAGCGTCGAACAAAGAGGAGGAGGAGGAGGAGGAGGAGAAGAAGGAGGAGGGCACAACAACTTAGGATTTAGATGAGAGAGCAAGCGATGCAAGAGGGAAGGAGATAGTGAGAGGGGCGAGTTTTCTACCTGACTAAATAATCCTGTGGTTTTGGGATGTATAGTTAAACCGGTGTCAGCCAGATGAAATAAGTTGGGCCGAACTATTAATCTGGTGACTATTTAATACATACAGACACCAAGCACCCGACTCTGTATTATTAGTCCTATTTGGTGTGTTATACAGCGTACCAAACGAAGTCTTAGGGTTTCTTATAATGCTAGAGTCCGCGCTTTCTCAATTGACACGCAAACCTAAGAAACTTAAGCCTTATAAATTGAGCCTTGCATACAATGATTATATTGGTACTGTGAAATTGAATTCCGTTGGTCATGTACTTGTATTATATATTTACATTATCTTATTGTTGAATTTATATGAGTAGGGTTGAGTATGTTTATTTAAAAATTACCAACAATTATATTCACGTCTTTAGCCAGAAGGCTCATCATAACAAGAATTTCTTAAACCATGCACGAGTCAATACCAATAAGAACCAAGTACAGAACCTTGTTGGGAGGAAAAAATAAGAGGGGGGAAAGTAAAACTGGTTATTCACACATTGCAGGGGAGGATTGACTACAAATTACAATGCATATTTACTTGTACAAAACATGAATTAAAGAAAACCCTTCTCTTTGTAGGATTGAACAGCGCCATCAAACATTTCACCAAGGCCGCATTTGAATTCGAATCCAGTATTCAACAGTTTCTTTGAAGAGACCTTAGTTCTTTTGTAACCTTTGACCTCCTTTAAGTAACTGAAAACGGAAAATGAAGAAGAAAAAAATTAGAAGAGAGGGTTAATACATAGGCCTCAACATATTTGACAACATAAAGGAGACCATATTATGTTAATAAAAATAAGTTTTGCTAGAATAAGTAGTTCATGTGTGGACAAGTGGCCACTTATCCGTTAACAAGTGCTAAACTGGTTGTGAGGCCCATTTCAATCAAGTTGTAAATGACGTGAAAACCTTTGACAATTAACTTACGACATATGAACAATTGATTCTAACATTTCTTTTACAACAATATAGTTAGAGAAGAAATAAGTAATCTCACTTTGGTATTTGTATTTGAAGTTCGGGGTATCTTGGAGGAAGAAATTCATATAATTCATGAATCGATGTTTGCACTGACGAACAAATGTACCTTCCTTTTGCATTAGGGTACTCCAGAAGATAGATATGTGCACTTGCTACATCATCTATGTGTACCATATATGTGTTAATAAGATACTTACATAGATCCTGGTTACCTACATAGGTCAAAATATTACAAAATTAACAAAACACACAAAAAAAAATAAATAAATAAAAAGGAAACGATTGAAGATCTCATACTAGAATACTGAATTTGTTCACGAAATACTATGTCAATGCACATTTTCATTAATATACTGTCTAATAGTAAATATGGTTTAAAATAAACCCATACTTAAAATATTGATGCGTTCGTCATTTTGATGAACAAAATTTGTTAAAAGACTTGATATCTCTCGTGATGCTGCCAGAATTTAGCGCTATTAGAAAAGAGTACCTATCAAACATGACACGACAAATGGTTCTTTGTTTCCAAATTAGATACATCAGATAGAAAAATTCTAGAATTTACATTCTTGAAATTAATAATTAGATCCATGTGAAAAAATTTAAGAGAATTTATAACCGGACGAATCTGAGCCACTCAAATGATAAGAAAAAGCATAGATTGAAACTATAGTAGAAAGATTGTCAAAAATGGAATGAACCATTAAGCTGCATGTGTGTGGCCAAATATCATTAACAAAAGCATATAGTTTAAGAGAAAAGTACCAGAAATGGGAGCCATTCCCATGTACACCGAAGAAGGAATATTTGGACAAATGAAGGGTCCAACAACTATGGGAAGAATCACAGTGACAACATCCAATCCATGTTTTTCTGCAAACTCCAAAGCCGTCTTCTCCACCAGAGTCTTAGAAACCAAGTAAGAAGAGCCTACAAGACCGCTGCTTTTGCAGATATCGATCTCACTCCATGTATTTTCATCAGTTTCACTTAAACCTTTGCTGTTGAACAATATTGCTGCCAAACTAGAAGTGTAAACGACGCGTTTCACAGTCTTGGAGTTCAGGCATGCCTTCAAAATACCTAGAGTTCCTTCTAGGGCTCTCTTGGTCACAGTTTCCTCTGGCTCTTTGTTATCAGTATCCATAGGGTGAGCAACGTGGAAGACTCCGGTGCAGCCTTGGATGGCCTCATCAAAAGTCTCAGGTTGGTTGAGATCTGCATGGAAGATTTGGAGTCTGTCCGATGCTCCTGGTAGGGTTGTTAGGTAGCTGATATCTCTCTTGCTTTCAGCTGCCACATTATAATGGTAGATATATATAAACATGAGCTCATGTAATTATATGTTAAAAGGCCACAAGGGAAATCTATAGAAAAAAAGAAAAATGCGGAAAGATTAAGTTGATAAAGAAATTGGACAATTAGGACTAATATCCCACTGAATTTAGTAACATCCGGAATGACGTTGGATTAGTTCTCACACATATAAACTACTGATGCCATTCATTCACACATAAATTGATAACATTCATTGATAGATAACTGCCTGTCATACTTTCAGTGCACGTTTAATAACACGATAGAAGTATGCCATACAATTGAAACGAATTGGAAATGCCTGGAGAAAAACAAGATGTGTGTGTGTATGTGTTTAGAATGTTTCACCAGCGGACCCTTGAAGTCCACTGGCCACACACAGATGAAAGTTTGTCCTTTTAACCACCAATTGATAGAAATAAACCGCCCCAAAATGTTGTTCTTTAACTTATATCCATCCCTCACAAATTTTTGTGTGGCTCACTAAATGACAAAAAAAAAAACTTTACTATTTAGCTCTAATTTACTATTGATTTGCATTAAGCAGAGAAAATCATATTTCAAAACACTATAGACAGGTTATAACTTATAACATTATTCTAATCTCCCAGTAACAGTCAAACTTTGAAATTTTATACTTAAATATATATTGGTTGAATTTTTAACGCCCCACATAGACAAAATTTTGAGTTCGCCGTGCTGGGATGTTTTTATGTTTGTCTAGTCCCAATCATGTTAGGCCATCTACAACCGAAGGGTCCAGAGGACTAGAGGGCCTAAAATAGCCTGAAAACCATCTCCGACCTAGGGCTAGGCCAGAGGGCTCGTGGGCCCCACAGAATCTGAAATGGCTAAAGGGCCAACCGGCTGGCCTAATCTAGCTAGCCAGCCAGCCCCGGGCTAGGCCAGAAATTCTAGCATTCATGTCGGATATAATCAACAGGAATTCTAGGCCAAATTTCAAATGCAACGGCTAGCTGACGTCAACTAGCCGTTATTTTTTAATTTTTTTAATTTTTTTTACACAATTTTTTTATTTTTATAACTTCTATTTTTTTCTATAACTTCCTATAACTTCTATTTTACAAAATTTATTTTATATTTTTTCTAAATTATATATTTTTTTTCCTATAACTTCTATTTAACAAAATTTGTTTCATATTTTTATTCTATAACTTCTATTTTACAAAATTTGTTTCATATATTTTTTAAATTCTATTTTTTTCCTATAACTTCCTAAGCCATTATATAACATTAAATTAAATTAAGTAACATGAAACAACATTAAACAATACGAATTTAGCTGTTGGATTTGAATTTAAGTTGTAGTTTTTAAATAATAAATTATGTTTGGCCCTCGGTTGAAGACGATTTTTTGTGACAGGGCTAAAACGAGCCCTATGACCCTTTGGCCCTCAGTTGAAGATGGAGGCAAATATGGCCCTGTACTGTTCAGTAAATTATTAATATCTTGGAGGGTGCTAAAACAAACCCTGGATTGGAGATGGCCTTAGATTATGAGATCAAACAATTGCAATACTAACGTATAAAGCATTGTATAAGAATTACAATAAACTCATATGTTCAGATATAGCTTCTAGGTATAAAACTGAAGTGACACGTCAACTTGAATTTCATACATATCTTCTAACTAAATTGATCATTATCATTAAAGCTCAAAAACATTCAACATAACTACAAAACCATAGAATTTGTTGGTCGTCTGATCTGAGTTACCTGCAGGATTGAATCTAACCGTAGCTCGAACGGAGTAACCATGCTGAAGAAGCCTCATAATCAGCCAAGAAGCAACATATCCTGTTCCACCAGTTACACAAACTATTCCCCTACCCTCTTCCATCTCTCTCTCTCTCTCTCTCTCGCTCTCTCTCTCTCTCTGTCTATAGATCTCTATATGTGTGGTTTGGCTAATTAAGCAGGATCATGGAAGCTTAAATACAAGATAATTGATTAGTTTGCGAGATAATTAATTATTTTGCGATAGTTAAGGGTCAATAGTTTGTGATTTTGTCATTACAGCTAGTTCTTGCACATTCTTTGCGTTTCTTCAGGAGGCAATGAATTTGACATATGATAAGGTTACGTAATTTACGATTTTAAATTCTCTACCCTATATACATATACAAACAACCACGACATAGACGAATTGAATATACCCCTTTTTCAGTCCTTATGTCTCCATGTTTCTGTTGACGTTCTAAATTAATGTTCATTTTTATACATATAAAAATCTATAGCCGCTGGCTCCGGCTTCGAGCCAGTGGCAGCTCCTCTCCCCCTTCTCTTAGCCTTCCTCATCCTCTTCTCCTGGATTATTGCAGAGCTATTTTTTGTTTTAGTATTGCCGTTTATAAGTGCTCCTTGGTGAAGTTATTTGTGCGCCTCTCCTAGTGATATTTTGATTTTGTGTTTATGTGTTATCGTCTCCTCTTAGGTCTACTTCGTTGTTTATGTTAGCTTCATTGACGGTGTTGAGCAACAAACTCATGGTGGTATAAATATATACTAGTTGGTTCATTGTCAGTTCTTCTTCAAAGTCAGTAATGGTTGTTGTCAAAGAATGTCCTCCTATTCATTACATACAATTTTTGTGCGCAGAATATGTGTCAAAACATGAAGTGTTTGATTTTTTCATGAGTAATGGAGTTCCTAAAGATTTGAAGTTTCATCTCAATCTCGAAGTTTAGGTGTGGATGACTTAGATGTGTTCCTTTGCTTATTCTAACTTATTGTGAGATTAAACTCATCTCTCTTCTTTATTGTAGAAAATATTGTTTGTTAAAAAAAAAAAATATATATATATATATATATATATTAGACCGTTATCGTTTTGCCTAAAAAAATTGAGGTTGATGTATTACTACTTATATTAATGCAACTATTAATTTATTTATCTAATTCTAACTGTATATGAGAAACATATTACACATCATTTGAAGCTGTTCGATATTAGTTTAATAATATACAGCCGATCACGAGGATAACTAACGTTGCTTTGTATTTTATATGACGCACGATATCATGTCAACGAATTGTTGGTTTTTATATTAGAAATATAGTACGATAAATAATCGAAAGTGTAACACGACAACCAGAGTTCTAATTTATTTTGCAATCCATCCTTTCCCTTAGATCATTTGGTTGAGTACTCATCGCAATAATTTGCTTGTATATGCAAGATGCCTTGTATAATCAATTAGTTCATACTTCCTAACAACTTCTTAAAATTGTGAAAACACAGTCAAAACGTATTATTTTTAAGAACATTTCCTTCAATTTATGACTTAGGGAAAGAATTTCACTTATGTCAATTAATGAAAATGACTTAAATTTTAATGAAAAGAAGAAAAGTTTGATATAATAAAAAATAAAAAACTAATAGATGAAAATGACTGATGAAAAGTTCTCAGAACTCATTGACGAAAATATGCAGCAGCAAGCTGAGTTGATAAGGAGAAACAAGGAGGGCTTTTGACCTAGGTGCATAAGCTAACGGATGAGAACAATAGTTTGAGGAGTCATCTGAGAAGCCATAAGGAATAAGGATACTACTGACCATACAATTATATAGGCTTGGCAATTCCTGACACAAAACGAAAATTAACGGGTGTTCGGGTCAACACGATAAGCACCTGTTAAGATAACGGTTTGGTTCGCGTATACATGTAGGTAACACGATACACGATAAGGAAAATATTAATTTTGTTGTTGTCTATTTTATCTGACAAGGAGAGAGAGGGCCGGCGGCAAGGAGAAGAAAGAGAGATGTGTGTGTTGAATTGTAGGGGAATGTGTGTGTTGTTATCCTTCCTACATTGTGCCTTTATTTATGGTAGTAAAGGGAGAGAAGATATTCCTTCATCCCTAAGGAATACAAGATACAATAGGAAAGGATAACTAGAATCAAATCTAATCTAGGATTCACACAATCATACCTAAACTAGGAATGTTTACAACACTCCCCATTGAATGTGTAAATACTCAAGGTAGATTTAACATCATGCAGAAGTTGAGGAAGTTGACTCATCGACACTGATTCCAAGGAACAATGCTTATTCTCAATAAGGTAAGAACTTGCATAAGTAGTAAGTCTCACTAAAAAACCCTAAGGCTATGGCAAAAACCTGAGGAGGGACAAAATCCATAGTTTAAGGAAAAATGTATAAGAAATGCAAAGTCAAAGAAACGTCTACAGGACGTCATTCAGGGATATGACCAAAACAAGGTAGGTGCCTCGTTAAAACCTAGTTAGGTAGCAAAAACTCAGTTGGAAAAATGCTCCTAATTGTAGGGAAAAAGAGTACATTAAGATCAAGCAAGTATCTACAGGATACTCCCCCTGAGTTTAACAGAGTTCCAAAAGAGAAATAGCAAAGTTACAACTCAGAAGGTTTACGCATACCAATTCCATGAACAAGCTTCTAAAACGTCGTCTTCAATAGTGATTTGGTGAAGAGATTGGCCAGATTGTCTTGTGAATGAATTTGCGTAACTTCAATCTTCTGATGCTCTTGTTGTTGATGTGTAAAAAAAAACTTTGGCGCAATGTGCTTGGTGTTGTCTCATTTGATGTAACCTTTCTTGAACTGTTCGATGCAAGCTGCATTGTCTTAAAAAATCGTTGTTGGGGCATTAGCGATGGGATAAAGATCGCAGGAGCTTCGAATATGGCCCACTACTGCTCTCAACCAAAAGCATTCCCAAATTTCTTCATGTAATTTCAGCATGGTTAGACAAAGTGGCAACTAAGGTCTATTTAGTTGACCTCCAAGAGATTGCGGTGCCTCAAACAGTAAAGATATAACCCGTTTGAGAGCGCACCTTGTGCGGATCAGATAAGTATCATGTGTCGGCATAACCAACAAGGCAAGAATTGACTCGAGAAGCAAAGGGTGCGACATCATTCGAGGATTTATAGGAATATAACAAACCCAAATCCATAGTACCTTTAAGGTAACGAAAAATGTCTTTCATGCCAGTCCAATGTCTGCGTGTAAGTGCA